TCCCAAGAGCCTGGACCTCAACATTATTAAAGCAGTGTGGGGTCATCTTAATGGAGAAAAGACATCCAACATTCAAAGAAAAACTTTGAATGTCCTTCAAGAAACCCGGGGAACTACTTAAAGAAAATTCAAGAAAAATGGCAAAGAGAGTTCAGGCTGCCAAATTTGGATTTTTAAGCTTGAGTAGTTTCAAATCTGAAACTTAAAGTTTTAAAAATAAATAACCTTGAACACAAAGTACGATACTTTAATTCAAAATACAGTTGAATAGAAGTAGAAAGCAGCATGACAGAAATATACATGAGGTGCAATCAACCTGTACTTTAGGAAAATAACTAAGTGGGTTTTTAGGTATAATTTAAAGATTAAATTGTTTTATTGTATCAATATGTTGTTATTATGAGGTATTCTGTAGACATTTACAATAATTTAATATATGTAACAAGATAACTTATTAATCACGCAGTGTGTCAGGGGCAGGCAGTTTGATCGTGCAGCTGATTATCCTAAACTACCAGGATTTTTCTTATTGTTACATTCAACCACTGACATTTTGTGGTTCAAACATTTGAATGAATCATTAATGGAGATTTGAAGCTTTCGAGTTACTTGAATGTTTTCTCAGTGCTCAGGTACCTGTGTAATGACCTGGATCACAAACAATGAAATATCTAGCATGTTTTAGCAATGAGGAAAACTCGATGTAAGCGCACAAGTTTTACAAGGAAACTCCAGCTTTAATCTATATAGTACAGTAATTGCACAACACCTAAATTCTTGAGAGAGAAATATGCTTAAGAGAGCTTAGATATATGGCGATTTTATGTAGAAGCTAATTTGAATGTTGTAGCTTTCTTTTTTCTTACGTCTGAGCTGGCATTGTGCAACCCTTTGGATTTGAATGATACCTCAAGGGAGCTTTGAATGCAAACACACACACACAGAAAAAAGCTCAACCAAGCAAACAAACAATTAAAAAACAAGTTAAGAATAAACAAACAAGCTTCACACTCATTTTTACTCATTTTATTAATGATGTTATGTCCTCGGGCTCATTCATTGATATGCATTTATTCAAAAGTAAACATTTCCATCACACTTTTGCAAGTCTAAGATTTTCTGTGTTCATTTATAACTTTTCCTGCTGTGAGGTATTTGTTAAATTCTAGTTCATCAAGTAATAATTCAGTGCTCTTTCCCACCTTGAACTTTCGAGGGACACGATAACTGACCAATAAGACCACAACACTGCAGAATTTTCCTTTAAATGACATTTGAGGACATCTCCAAATCATCATAGTATCTGCTATCATTTAATAGACGAAGCATAATCAGTACTGTGGGGATAATTGTACATTTCTACTTGTATTGCAGAGTACTAGTTGACTGAAAAGTTCATTATGTTTAGTATATGGAAGCAATATTTTAAAAAATTACATAAATACCTTTGACAAATTA